GGGGGTTGGGTTGGGGGGGGAGGGGGGTAATTCTGGCGGTTCGTTGCAGCAGCAGAAGCAGCAGCTGCTGTTGCTGCTGCACCCAATCTCGCCCATGCTGCGGATGCAACTGCTGTTTTCTCTCACCATCCTCGCCACTCTTCGCCATGCTGCTGCTGATGCTGCTGCTGCTGTTATTGATGTCGCTGTTGGTCCTGCCTGCAGCAGGTGTTCCCGCCACCGCAGCTGAGTGGAGAATACGGTAGAGATGAGGCTGGCTGCAAGCGAATTGGTGCAGCAGCTGCTGCTGCTGCAGTGGCTGCTGGTCCGAGCCTTAGCATTGCGGGAATGGGTGCTGGGGCTGCGTTGCGTAGGGGGACAGCTGTTGGGCGGTGTTGTATCCAACAACTGCTGCGGGTGCTGCTGCTGCTGCTGCTGTTGCCGCTACGGTGTCGCTATGGTCTTCCTGCTGCTGCTGCATGGGGGCACAGACAGTCGGTACGCAGTAAGGCTGTGCTTGTTGAGGGAGGGTATGCTGGGGCTGGAAGTTGTGTTGCTGCTGCACTTGCATGTGCTGCTGCTGCTGCTGCTGCGGCTGCTGTTGCTGTTGCTGCTGCTGTTGTTGCTGCTGCTGCCTCTTGGTGGTCTGCTGAGTCGCTGCTGGGGAAAGGAGGTGGAGAGCTGCATGTTTTTCTTCTCCTTTTTTAATGGAGACGTTGAGGCGTTTGTTGCTTACGACACAGTTGTTCATAGCGTTAACAGCAGCAGCAGCAGCAGCAGGAGTTGTATAAGAAACGAACCCAAAGCCTTTGTTTCTGCCGCTTTCTTTGTCCAGTGCAACATAACATGAGACAACAGCTCCGAACCCCCCAAAGGCACTCAGCAGCTGCTGCCTCCCCCAGTCCTTAGGTATATGGAAGATGAAGATATTAGCGCCGGGGGGGCCGGTGGGATCGGATCCCGTTTGCGTGCAGCAGCCGGCTCTGCTGCTGCTGCTGCTGCTGACCCCACACAAGGCATCAAAGTCCGCAGGCTTCTCCCAAGTAGTTACGTTGTTCGTCTCGTTGTGATAATAAGGCATGCAATCGGAGGTGAAGTATTCTCGCCAGGGCCCCGCCTGTCTAGGGTTGTAGTTTTTTGCTGCTGCTGCTGCTGCTGCTGCGACGGGGGAGAGGCGGGCGTGCTGCTGCAGCGCGAGTTGCTGCTGGAGCAGCTGCTGCTGCTGCTGCGGTTGTTTGACTTTCGTCTCTGCGAAGCGGATGTCCACAGCCCTGTTGCAGCCCTTGAATGTGTGTCTCCCTGACAAAGACCTAATTGCATGCAGGGCTTCTTCTTTATATCGATATTTTATAAAGGCACACCCTTTCCCCCCCCCACTGCAGCTATCCCTGAGAATAAACACCTCTTCCACCGACCCGAACTCCTTAAAGAAGACCCGCAGCTCCTCCTCTGTCGCCGTGCGGGGGATCGAGCCCACAAACAGCTTTGCCTTGTCTACCCCACCATCTGCTGCTGCTGCAGATAAACCCAGTCTATCTGCTTCTCCTGCTGCATACTTCACCACTAAAGGACTCGCCCCCTCTTCTAAACATAAAGTACCGTGCAGCGCGCGGATAGCCGCATCCGCAAACGCCAGAGAGCCTGTGTACGCATCCATACACCACAAACCCTAAACCCTAAACCCTAAACCCTCAACCCTAGACGCTGAATTCGCAACCCTAAACCTTGAAACAGAACGGGCCGAAGCATCCATAAACCATAAACCCTAAACCCTGAAGCCGAACAAACTCCACCACTCAAAAACCCTAAACTCTAAACCCTGAAACGATAGAGCATACAGCGCTCATAGACCCTAAACCCTAAAACCCTCAAGCGGGAGAGTTTGCAGCCTGCTGCTCGTTCAAGAAGAGAGGCTTCGCATGCAAGAAGCCATGGAGAAGGAAATCCCCACACAGTACGCGACATTCCTGTCTATAATTGGGGTGTATGTGCATCTGTACATACACCCCGATTAGAGACACGCATATACCCCAATGAATTGTGCAGATACACCCCATGGCTTGAATGCTGCAGTTGTGCAGCAGGCCAGCAGCAGTTTCCTCTCATAGTAGAGACAGAACCGGAAGCAGACAAACAAAGATAGACGCCACTTAGGCATAAACAAAAAAGGAGACATCTACAGCATCTATTAAAAAAAAAACAGACAGCAACGCCAATTGCACATGGCTTGGGTCTACAGACAAGGAAGGTCTCCTTTCTGTTGTTTGTACCCTTACTAAAGACAGAACAGAAGCAGCTGCGAATGCGCATGCAAATAGCTCCATGCATGCATGCATTCGATATCTATCTCGATGCACACAGCCTCTGAGCTGTATGTACACTGCACGAGGGCAGCTAAACTCCTCTGTTCTCCCGCTGTAACCGCTACACCAAAGAAAGGGCTCAGGGATTAGGGTTTAGGGGTTAAAGTTTAGGGCTGTGAAGTACTCATTCGAACGAAGGCGCTGTTGCGGTGTTTGTGTGTATTTCTCTCTCTTATTACTAAACAGTCCGTGACAGCCCCAAATTGAGAAAAGATTTGTCTAAGCTGCTCTTCCTGAACAGATCGAGGCACCCGCCCCACAAACAGCTTCACTTCAACAGGAGGCGCCTTGTGAGGCAGCGCATGCTGCTGCTGCTGCTGCTGCTCCTGCTGCTCTTGTTGCTGCTCTTGTTGGTCCTGCGGCTGCTGCGCAACCTGCTGCGCAGGCTGCTGTTGCTGCTGCTGCGCAGGCTGCTGTTGCTGCTGCTGCGCTGCAGGCTGCTGTTGTTGCTGCGCCGGCGGCGGCATCTGCTGCTGCTGATCCTCCGAAGGCCCCCCATTCGCCGTCGTTGGCTTCAGCTGCTGCTGCTGCTGCTGCGGCTGCTGCTGCTGCTGCTGCTGCTCGCCGGATGTACCTTGTTCCTGCTGCTGCAGCTGCTGCTGCTGCTGCTGGGGAGAGTCATCTTCTTGGTCTTGCCTTTTCACACTCTCTTCCTGCGTTGCACGCTGCTGCAGCTGCTGCTCCGCACCCTGGCGTTTCAGCGGCATTGGCTGTTGTTGCTGCTGCTGTTGGGATTCACTCGCTGCTCCCGGCGATGCAGCCTCTCCCATGTCCCCTGCACTCATAGCGGAGACTAAAAGTAAAAGAAATCTTTCAGGGTTGCGGCTGCTGCTGCAGCTACTGTGGCTGCAGCTGCTGCTGCTGCTCCCTCTGCGGGACTCCCGCTGCGCTGCTGCTTTTGCTGCACCGTGTGGGTGCCTGAAGCCCTAGTGAAATTCTAAGCAGGGCCGCTGCTGCTGTATTGCTGCTGCTACTGCTGCTGCTGCTGAGTCATTTGCTGCTGCTTCTGCAGCTCCCACTGCCCAATTCGATGTACGTGTGGAGGCCCTGAACGCACATAGCAGCAGAAAGCGCAGCAGGTAATTGTCTAGAGAAGCTGCTACCCCTCGTTTCGTGAGCATGCAAATCAGTGAGAAGACCGAATAACCGCAGCAGCAGCTGACACTGCAGCAGCTGCTGCAGCAGGAGCTGCTGCTGCTGCAGCACCCCAACAATGCTGCTGTGTCTACCTCCCCCCCCGAGAGCCAATTTGCTCCCCTCTACACACACAGAAATGAGCCCGCTTCATAGGGCCCAAAAGGTGCTTGAAACGAAGCAAGGATCACTGCTGTTGCTGTTGCTGCTACTGCTGCTGTTGCTGCTGCTGCTCGCGTTGCTCCCCCTGTGCTGTCGTGCTTAAGGCTACGTCTGTTTGCTGCATGGGAGTCTCAATAGCAGCAACAACGGCAGCAACAGCAGCGAGAGCAGCAACATTTCCTGCTGCAACGGAATGTTAGCTCTCTCCCGAGCACGCTACACTGAGACCTGCCTATACACCCAATTGGCTGCTGCCCACCTTGGCTTCGCTTGCGGCTAAGTCCCTTGTACTAAAGGGTTCTTCATTTGGGAATGCGCTGTGAAGGATGATTTTAATAATTTTCTCAAAGCTACTGCAACAGCTGCTGCTGCTGATCTGTGTTGCCGCCGCCGCCGCCGCCGCCGCCGCCGCCGCCGCAGCAGCAGCAGCAGCAGCAACAGCAGCAGCAGCAGCAGCAGCGCCACGGTCCCCGTGCGCCCGTTGCCGCAGCAGCCGCTGCTTCTCGTGCTGCTGCCGCTACTGCTCCGCTAAGTAAGCATGCATTTCTGCTATACAAAAGCCTTTATTATCAAAATACAAGATAGAAGAGCAGTAAGACTATACGGAGCGGCAGCAGCAGAAGCAGCAGCAGCAGCAGCAAGTCCGCTGCGGTGCGGTAATCCCACCGCATCAAATCAGGGCTCTAGTAGTTAAGACGCTGAGGCCCTCACTGGCTCCTCTATTGATGTACATTCGTATTTTCAAATTCTAGGTAAAACCCATACAAATACCAAAGACTCTTTAGCAGGCAAGACACAGTAATTGCCCTGCGGGCCCCGGCCTGCCAGCAGCTGACTCGGTGCCTTGTGGCCTTTGCTCCTCTCTTCCCCCTCAACAGCGCTACTCTCTCACTTAAGCGCTGCTCCTGGTGCTGCCGCTCTTTTGCTGTCTGCCCTAGAGACACAGGGGCCCCAGGCTCCCCTCGTACCCACCCAGGGGACCTACTACTGCTTTGGGGCCCCCGACTGGCCCCCCATAGTCTACACTAGCTACACTTTTAAAACCTTTAGTGCGTATTGACTGGCTTCTTCAAACCTAGTTGAGCGTAAACGACAACCCACGGCAACGCAGGAGCCACGCGCAGACCTAGGGGCCCCTTGGTGAAGCAGGTTTAGAAACTGCTCACAAGGAAGAAAGAAACGCCGCAGTGCCACCGTAATAAGCAGACAGGGGGCACTGAGAAATACTGACAAGACGAAAGGGTTAATCGTTCGAGGGGCCGTACGGCGGGGGCTAATTGCTGGTGCTGCTGATTGCTGCTGCTGCTGCTGCAGTGTTCAGCGGCTAGGTAACAGGGCACAACGAGAATGGCCGGGTTCGAGGTATCTGATGTCAAAAAGTACAGACAGGTCAACGGAAAGGTGTGCCGATGATGCTGCTGCTTTGGTAACTGCTACTGCTGCTGTCTTTTGAAGCGAGACGCCAGTGGCTGCGTCTTGTGCTGATGCTGCTCCCAATGCTGCCGCTACAGGACTGGTGGTTTGTAAGCTATGCAGGAGGCGACGGATCTTACAGCTGGCAGCCAGGGGTAATTGACGCACAGTTGGGCCAGCGGAATTATCAGCCGCAAGTTGTTCTGCTGCCGCCACCGCGAGTTTAGTACAGGGCAAAGCCAACACTCATTTAATTAGTCGCTGCTATTCCCACTGGAATTTTCAGCACGCAGGCGTAGCACGAATAGCATGCACTATTTTTCTGCACTGTACTGGTGATGCTGCAGAGTGAAGTGCAGCGCGCCTCTGCAAGTGTGCGCTCAACAATGGCGGAAATGCGGAGGAGGTACATAAGGACCCACAATTGCACTGAGGAGAGTTCCTCTCTTGCTGCTGCTGTCCGTGCAGCAGCTGCTACAGCGCTTTTCAAAGCTCCAGCAGCACCAGCAACTGCAGCAGCAGCAGCAGCAACAACAAAGAGGGAAACACAGCGCAGTTTGAGGCAGCAGTAGGCTGTCCACCTAAAGAGGCTATGCGAGGATTACCAACAACTACAGAAACAGCAACGTTCTCAGAAGCGGCAGGATCTCCTGCAGCCGCCAGTACTAGTTTACGCTGCACGTACACCCTACAACGCAACAATCTGTGCGGAGTTCGAGACCTCATATATATATGTGACAAGAATCCGTTCCGATAGCTGCCAAGTTGGCGGTACCACTGCTTCTGTTGGTGGTGGTGCCCTGTTTCTGCAAGTGCTGCTACTGCTGATGTTTCGGTGCAGGTGGATTTTGGAAAAGCACTACCAGAGGCAATGCCTAAGCGGTCTACTGTGGCTGCTTGCGGGGGCATGTCTAACGCTTGTGGGGTTCGGTGTGTTTGAGGCATGGGACGACCTCATTGGGGCTCCGTTCGGCTCTAAACTCTACACATTGACCCTGCCTTGCTGCTGGTGGCTGCTCCTCTGTTGCTTCTTGTCCGTATCCTTCGGGATCGCTGCAATCTCTCAGACCCTGAACGCCCCCAAATACGTACGAGGCAGAGCCTCCACCCGCTCCGGAGCTTCTTCACGAAGTCAGTCCCGTCCCTAACTAACGTCCCATAATTAGCACTTATCGTTGAATCGTCAAGGCGTGTCACATCGGAAGCTGGACTATACATACACCGCTGCTCTACTCTGGCTGGCGGGGCACTTGCCCTTTTTCGGCAGTCTCTAAACCCGTAGCGAGAAATACTATAAAGGCAGCTTTCTGTGTCATCTCTCTCGGTTCGCACACGCCCTCGTCAAATTCGTAGTTTCCTCATGTATATCCCCAATTCTTTCGAGTCTAGGATTTACCAGTGCGGGTAGGAAAAGTTTGAACTAGTTACCTAGATTTCTACTCAGAATTGCAACGGCTGCTGATGCTGTTGCTGACTCCACGGAATAGTAGCAGGGTCTTATAAGAAAAGCATGCATTGCTAGCCATAGCGGCGACCTCGGTTGAGGCTTTGCCCGGAACTATTACTCGAGCTATCTATATATTTGTCATGACCCTGCTACCATGCTGTGGCGTCTGCAGCAGCCCCTACACTTCTGGCTAGACGGGTAGATACCTGTTTCAAGTTTTTTCTCACGCACTGAACATGTTTCGAGGGATGACATTATATAGTTTGTTCACATTTGAAGCAGCGCTAGATGCCATGGTAAGGGCTAGAAAATTTGTGAACATTCACGTTGTCTGGAAAGTTAGCTTGATTAAGTCAATGCGCCGCCGCGTGATGTTCAGGCAGTCGTTCGCCTGCCTTTTCTAGACGCCGGAGAGCCAGCCCCTATGGAAGGAGGAGACGGGCAGCCTCGCCTCGCAGTGCAGCAACAACCGGTACAGCAACGACAGACCCACCGACACTTGGGGAAGTGGGCTTGGATGCAAGAACGACGGATACTGGTAACGACAGCAGCAATAGCAGCGGTAGCATGTTTAGCTCTGATGAGCGGCAAGCAGGGGACTTTTCTAACGAGGGAGCAGTAGCAGGATTCCCACCAGTGATGGGTGATGGCCCTCTAAACAAGAAACTTACACCTAGACCGTCAAGAGAGTATATGCAGACCCCTTCCCGCATGGCCTCTGCTACGGAGAAGACTGGTTTCGCAGCAGCACCCATTCGCCAGGGCTCCACTGCCAGCAAGAGACAAAACAGTCTTCTCAGGCAAAGCTCCACCAGCAGCAGCAAAAAATAGCTGTTAAACCTGCAACAGCGAACAGGCCCTACGGATGCTGCAGCAACAACGTGAGAACGCGCTGTTGCTGCTGTGCCTACTCCCGAGCAGTCGAGGCGGAGAGCCAGCTATTCAGTCAGAAACTTCCATAGCGAGGGAGTTTGAAATTCACTTTAGATGTAGGGAAGCTGTTGGGAGATCAAATTCTTCAAAGTTTCTCCTCGTGCGCAACTATCCATCGTCCCGCTGCCAGGTTTTCTGAGCAAAACTGCTCAAACTCCGCGAGCTGGAGGGGAGAGCGTTTGTCTGTGCCTCCCGACAACATTCCCTGTTGCAACTTCTCCAGTGTAGACAACGCCAGCTGCAACCATGCACGAGACTCTTCCCGAACAAACATAACTTAAGCTGTAATGACAATCCTCGCCCTGAGCCGGAGGCCACTACGGGCTGCAGTAGAGCCGAAATACGAAAAACTTTCTCGTTCTCAGCCTTCAGGCGTCCAGAGCACACCAGCGCAAGAGCCTGGGGATCGTGCAGAAAGGAGGCTCCCCGGAACTCTTTGCAGGACGTCTTGCTGCTGGCCCTGTTGCACAGAAACCGCACGTGCGAGCACAACCAATCGTCCTTTGCTGCATGTACTAACATTGTGGGCAAATGTTAGCACCTTTCTCGTTCCTCACTAGCCAGCATGCATGCAAGTAGAAATGAGCGTATCAACTCCGGACAAACCATGATGTGCCTGCTCCCCCCTTCCCTCCACAGCGGCTCATGCCCTCGTGCGACTTAATGCCCAACACTGGATATGCAGGGCAATCAGTGCGCAAGGGAGCGCCAGAATCCGCAGAGAAAGAAAAAGCGCAAAAGGCACAGATGGTGCCAGCCAATGCCCATCACTTTTCCTGCTGTTGCTGGCCGCATGCCGCTGCGGGAGTACAGGCCAGCCAGAGCTCACCACTGCGCCCTTTTACGTCCGCTTGTGTTCGGAATCGCATTTTAAGATCTGCATCCCAACCTAATAGAAAGTACGGTGTGAACACCTGCCGGTGCACAGCATTGCGTTCGTGAGCCAAGGGTTCTGGAAAAACCCAGAAGTTCTACCGTGCGAAAAACTGTAAATGTTGTCAGAGGCTCCGCCGAACTTGCCATAGGTAGAGGGAGGGCCTCAAATCACAGCAGGCAAATAATTATTCCACATAAAGAGTATTCGTGTATTTTCATGATGGCATCTATGCAGATGATAGTGCATGATAGTGCAATTATTAACGCAGGGCTCTGAGCGGCCCAAAGTTACGCTGCGCTGCGCTTGCCCACCTTTGCATTCGCCTCTGCTGAGCCCAGGGGCCTCTAGGACGTCCCTAAGGAATTTGGTGGTTTGCGCTTATGGGCGAAACACGCTCAGGAATTTTGTTGCTTCTCCATTTAATTCAGTATTCTCGTTTTCTGTGACGTATGTTCGAGTGCGCGTCGATATGCGTGTCCAGGATCTCAGCCTTTTCCAGTTGCTCTCTTTGCGCATGGTGTTGCCTATTATTTATGAGAAAAATTCAACGAATTGGCCATGATATCCCAAATTGGTTTGGAAGGCCAACTGTTCGGGCTAAGTCTACAGTGTAATCCAATGCGATGGCACGACAACGAACACGAGAAGGCCCCTATCGGTAGTGCACAAGCACTACAATGCCATTCAAATTGGACCTGCACAGATCTTTTCGGCAGATACAGTACAAATACTATATTACTAGAAAAACATCAAGCCACTGTAGGCAGGAAATAAGGCCACCAGGCTAAGAGTGCTCGGCAGCTACGCAGGGTTGGGTGGGGCTGGCTGTGACTGGCCCTGTAATCGGGGCGTTGACCGCATTGGCAAAATAATTATTATTTCTTCCTCCTTTACGAGGATTGGACCGGAGCATGAATAATAAGTTATTCTTTAAAATTTTTAGGGCTATTTCCAGGGTTTTGCGCTGGCTTAAGCGTGTATGTATTGAGTGTGCACCAGAATAGGTACACATATGATTGACTGGTGGTGGCAGTTGATAACACTGTTCGCTACTCTATCCAATGTATGGAAAACATTGCCCTCTTGCAATTTCGCGGGGCATGCGAATCCACTAGCAACACGCCGCCTGGATTGTGAATGAATGCGTAGCTTCCTTTTTCGTAGTTTCTTGCCTTGCGTCCCTGTGCTGTCTCTACACATTTCCGAGCTACTTCAAGCTGCGGGTAGAAGTCTGCAGCGGGGGACGTACGAAAACCGCTTCCAACAAGCAGGTTCAACGCCGGCTCTAACAAAAATCGTTCGATATACAATATTGGTAGAGGAGAACAAGTGGTTGAGGTATGCACTGTTGTATTGGCAACCCATTTGGAAGAAGGCCATAAATTGAGGAATTTTGACGGGGTTCTCCAAATAAAAAGTCAAAACCTGTTCCACAAGAGTGCGGTTAGTGCGCTCAGTTTGACTCTTTTACTTTTAGAGGTCCACGGTTGTCATGTAATTTTCAACCCCACGCCACGTCTTGAATTTGCGTCAAGAGGTGCAAACAATCCTCGGGTCCCTGCCCGTGATGGTGATTTTCGAAAAACCAATGAGCTTCCAGAACAAATCCATAATTAACTGGGCCGGTTCTTCTTCTTGTATTGGACTCCAACAGGGGGTGAAATGGGCATATTTGCTGGATCTATGCATAAAATGTAAATGCCATCAGAGCTTCTAGCAGCCAGCATTGGAATCCATTGTGATATCCTTGTAGGCCCGTTTATGAACAGCTTGGGCTTGAGAGTGTTCTGGGGTTCTAGCAGCTGACATCCTGGACAAGTGAGTGCATAGTCCTCGGCTGAACGGCCCATCACAGGGCACCAAAAGATGCCGCCCACCCGCTCCACTGTTATGCTGACCCTCCCATGACCAGGCATGATTGCGCGTCTCGCTCAAACCGGCAGTACAAGAGGATGATTAAATGTATATTTTGCTGAGTCAGCGCTTCACGTATCACCATAAGAGGCCACTCTCTTGTTTCCAAGCCATTGGCCGCCTCACACCAGACAGCAGATATCGATCAATATCCTCTTTGCAAAGAGGAAAAGGCGGGCGATTTCTCGCCAACTACTTCAGTGAGTTTATCAATGTATTTCGTTTTCTGCCTTGTTAGTAAAGAACCTTCACGACAAACCAGTCCCACGCACAATGTCGCCCAGCTGTGGTGATTAGATTTGCTGTTCACCACCGTCATTATCTACTATGCGGCGATACTAAGTTTGAAGAGAGTCTCGGCCTTAGCCGAGGACCGTCAAGAGCTGCAGCAGAAACAAAATAAATGGTGACAGCCCGGCAAAAGGCTTCCCGTTCACCCTCTGGGTGTCCTACGCTTAAGGGGCAAAAATCACGAGGTTAATGAAGAGTGGAGGTGGCCTATCAGAAGCGGCAGCACACCCCTTACTGCAACCCTGCTGCAAGGCAGCTCTATGCCTACAGACGTACCCAAGCGCCTCGGGTGCGCGCGATAGCACTGTACTCTATTTTAGGTGCTTACTTTCCCCCCCGAAGCCGAATGGCGAGCGAGCAGGTTCGACAAACTGAATTTAGGCACCCCATGCCACACAGAGCATGATACAGTGCTACACTTCGGCTAATGCCGAGGACTCTCGTTGCACACGGCGCTCTCTTGGAGCACGCAGTGAAACAGCGTAGAATTGTTAAGCACTGAACAGGCCCTTAGTCACTGAAGGAGACCTCAGTAGCAGGCCTGCTCTCACGTAGAAATGCATGCAGCAGTTGCATACAGAACACGTATACTGCACTTGCATAGAGATTCAACACAGGGAATGCTTCCGAGTATGGAACGACGGTGACCACGAAGGAAGTGTAAAACACACACAACAAGAGCAGTAATATAAATAAAGGTGAAAGAACATCGAATAATTATTTTTTTTTTTATCAACTGTTGGGCGCCAAAGAAGAAAAGACATAATGATGGGCGTTAGTCTCGGGCGGGCCAGCCGGCATATTTAGAGGGCAGTTAGAACGTCCGTCTTCCTCCGCTTAAAAACTCCCTTTGCTTTATATTAATTTGTTTTTCTTTTTAGTCAAACTCTTCTTAACATGTTGAGCTGCTGCTAATATTTTTGTTGGCTCCGTAGTGAGGAGGCCCAGGGGCTTGGGGGGTGATGTGACCCTGTGCGATGCCTTTTGTCTTGCAATCCTTCCTGCGTTGGGTTCGTTTCCTGCTACTCTCCTGTTTTAACAAATTCATCCCATGGTATTGCAGCTCCAACAACGACGACGGCCCTTGCTGCAGCGTAGGGAGTTGGCTGCAACCGCTGCAGCAGCAGGAGCAGCGGTGTGCTGCTCCTGCTGCGCCTCTGGCGACAGTCTTAGACCTGGTCCGTTGCTGCGCGCTTGCTGCAACATATGTTGATCTGGGAAGCTCGAGTTTCCAGGAGAAGACAGCTGCTGGTTCTGGATCTTGCTGCTCGCTGGAGCAGCTGCGGTGGGAGCGACCCAGAAGGGCTTGAGCTGTGATTGTTGTCGCCTCCCGTACTTTTCCTGCCTTGCCGAACCCGACAAAAATGGGTTTCATGCGTCTACGTTTGCTGCTGTTAGCTCTGATGCAGCTGCACGTGCTGCGGTATGCTCTCTGTAGCTCCCTCTCCGGTAACAGGAAGTCTCCTGCAGCAGCAGCAGCAACAGCAGCAGTAGTAACATTCCCGATAAGCAGTCCTGCCTTTTTAAAGGGGTCTCTTCAATCTCATCTGGTGTGCCGCCTGCAGCGCCTGCAGCAGCCACAGCAGCGGCACCTACAGCAACGAGGGTCATTGACTGCATTCATACGACCTCTTGTTGCGGGAGCAACAGCAGTGCATACAGCAGCAGCAGCTTCCGTGGCAGCTACAGCAGCTCCAACGAGGGTAGCCGCACTCCAGGCTGCTGCAGATAACTCAGCAGCAACTGCAGCGCCACCAGGAACAGCAGCAACAGCAGCAACAGCACCACACTTGCCGTTTCGAATCGGTCATGGATACGACATGCACCGCCTGTCAATGGATCCCAAGATTATCACAGGTCAGCGGTTGCTGCTGTTTCTGCTGTTTCTACTTCTGCTGCCACTGCTGCTGTTGCTGCTGCTGCCCTGTTGCCACGTCTCCTCCTGTGGTATGGCTCTGCCGCCGCTGCTGCATGCATAGCTGCTCCCCTCTTCATTCTGTAGCTGCTGGTGCTATATGCGGGCATTCTCGCTTGCTGGCGCTGCAGTTGTTAGTGAAACTGTAAGATTAAAGATTCATTACTAACGAGCCCCTTAGGGTGTTAATTAATAGATGCAAATAAAAGGCACATATTACACTAAACGAAATAGAATTTTCTATTGTATATATCTAATAATTATTTTGTATGAAGATACATACATAGCAGTACCTTATTGATATTATCATTACTGAGAGTGCTTGCTTAATTTGCTGTTCAACAGTTATTATTGTTAACTACTATTACATAATACAGCCTCTAACATATATATATATATATATATATATATATATATATATATATATATGCGTTGTTTATTAACATGCTGGGCTCGCGACTAATTGGTGAGTTTGTTGATGCTTTTCCTTTGAATACCAAAAACGTTCGGGTCTCAATGCTTTCTTCTTTATAAATTAAATTTTTAACTTATCAATTCATTGCAGTAGTACCTTTTGCCTCCCAATATTTTAGGAGAATGTTCTCATGGTTACTTGAAGTGTTGTTGCTTGCATTTTGTATCATTTTCCGCACCTTATTTTTCTTTTTATAATACAGTATTAAGACGGTAAATAAATGCAACATGTGGTAATCAACTGGCCCGTGTTCTCTGCTGCTTTTAGGCCCCCTAGTGCTCGCGGGCGTCTCCTTTGCCTCCGAGGCGGCAGAAGCAGCAGCAAAAGTAGCAGCAGCTGCTGCAGCCAGTCGTCAACAACCGAAGGCAATAGAGTTAGCAGAAGCAGCAGCTACTGCTGCCTTTTACGGCGGGCGCCGGCTGCTGTCAGCTGCCTCTTTAGGCCTGAGGCGCCTGTGGCGGTGCGGCGCAGCCACGGCTAGCAGCAGCAGCTGCAACACCAGCAACAGCAACTTCGCCCTCGGTGTGATAGCGCACTCTGATGGAGACGTGGTGCTGCATGCAGCAGCAGACGCCATATTCGCTGCAGCAGGGGCTGCAGACATAGGGCAACAGTTCCCTGACACAGCAGCAGAAAACAAAGGCCGAAACTCTAAGGACTTCGTTGCTGCAGCAGCAGCTGCTGCTGCTTCTGCAGGGTACACTGTAGCGCAGCTGGACGTGACCCTCCTGTTGCAGCGCCCCCGCATCGGCAGCAAGAAGCAGCAGATGATTGAAAACTTAGCAGCAGCCCTAGGCATCAGCAGCACCCAAGTCTCTATAAAAGCAAAGACAGGAGAAGGCATAGGGCCTGTAGGTCGTAGCGAGGCGGTGGAGTGCCACGCGGTAGTGCTGTTGCAGCGAAACGGTTTACGTACTCCATATTGACTGCAGCGGCTGCTATTTCTGGTGCTGCTGCCTGCTGTCAGCCACTAGAAAATATCAGCAGAAGGCCGTTGTGCTGTCCTTGAACGGCTGGCTGCTGCAGCAGCAGTAGCGGCCAGTGTAGCGGCCAGTGTAGCAGCCGCAGCTACAGACAGCAGAGGAACTCTGCTTTGCCTCCTGTAACAGCTGGCGCTCTGCTGCTGCCTTTGCTGCACTTTCTGCTGCTGCGGATGCTGCTGCTGCCTTCCTCCAGGACTTGCCTGGTGAAACAGAAGCCAGCAGGTGGGCTGGTGTAGGGCCGATGCAGCCCTTAGATTGGTTTTCATTTGGTTAAAACGTCAATTAGAACAAAACAGAAGCTGAGAGGGTTTTGTTGCAGCAGCAGCAGCAGCAACAACCGCTGCAAGCGCTGGTGCTTCGTAGCGTCTCGGCCTGGAATTTCAGCTGCTGGGTCAGGGAGCTGCTGCTCGATATCCGCAGCCCCTGATGCAGCAAGTGAGGCGTCTGCTGCTGCATGCAGCACCACGCCCTCATCAGAGTAGGCAGCCGCAACGAGGCCCTTGCGTCATGCGCTGCTTTTCTTGTTGCAGTAGTTGCTGTGAGTGCAATGCATGTCTAGACAGGAAAAAAAAGAGCAGCAAATCCGAGCTAGACGAGAGCAGCAAACAAGCAAGTCGAAATCCAGAGCTGTTGTTTGTTATCCCATCTTGATTAATATGAGGTAAGGAACTACCATCTCTCAGACGCTGCAGCGGTCCCCGTAGCATTTCCGAGAAAAGATTCAGCTGCTACTGTTGCTGCTGCATGCAGGGGCAGACACAGAGCAGCTAGCCCTCCGCAAAGTTTGCTGATGCTGTTGGCGCCGCCGCCGCTGCCGGCGCAGCAGCAGCAGCACGTGAAACATCCCGTGCTGCAGCTGCTCGAGGTGTGGGTGCACCTTAGTGAAAAAAGTAGGGGCTGTGTAGGACCTGGCGAAGGTCCAGCTGTCCCCTAGGTGGGGGAGGGGGGAGGTGCGCTGCTTGTTGAGGCAGTCTGAGTCTAACACTGTCATAGAGAGACTGAAGGGGGTTGTGCTGATACAGGGCTACGAACTGCTGCCTAAGAGCCGTGGCCAAGGTGTCTATACACCCCGCATGGGCCCAGTAGGAGTCGTGTACGGCGGCCATGTCAATGCGACGGGTGCCTATACACTCCAAGGCCGTGAGCATCATGTGCGCAGCATCGAGGCTGTGAATGAAGTTGGGGGGGAACCCCAGCCGCTGCTTCGATCTGCTCACAGGCGCACAGTCTCCTGACACGTGCAGCGTGTGGCGCTGCAGCGCGGAGCGGATTTGCTGCTGCTGCAGCGAGCGGTAGGGCTGCTCACAGAGCAACCCTATTGCGGGGACCTCCCAGGCCACGGGGACCCCTGCAGCTGTACATACACCAGAAACTGCATCCAGCCACTTCTTTGTCTGCATCGCCCCTCGAAACAACTCCCCAATGGACTGCAGCACAACTCGCGACAAGAACCCTCCCAACTCCCGCAGCACCTCAGGCCGCACACGGCCCCCCAGCAGGTCTTCTAGCTGCGATAGCACTTGATCCCTTGCTCCCAATGCTGTCACTCCATAGCAAACGGTCATCACTGTCTGCTTCACCACACACCGCTGCAGCACCCCGTGCACCTCGCACAAACGCGCCAGCTCCCGCCGCCTTTCTTGCTGCTGCGGCGGTGGCCCCTGCTCCTGCTGCCGCTGCTGCGCAGCAGACACGCGCCCCTGCTTCCGCTTCTTCCCTTTGCCCTGTTGCTGCTGCTCGGCCTGCGTCTCTGCACCATGTGCTGCTCCTGTTGCTGCTCCTACGGTGTCCGTGCAGCCGCTGGCGATGCGGTGTACGTTTTGCTTGACCACCTGCAGCACAAGGGAGTAGACGTCTTGCGGTGTCTCCGCCGGTAGGAGATTTACAGCTGCTCCCCCCCGAAGGTCTCGGTTGAGAGCTGCATAATGCTGCAGGCCGTTGCACGTGCCGTCCAGGTGTACAGGCAGCTTGCTGCAGAAGGCCGTAGGATCCCCCGACTTGACAGCAGATGCGATTTCCAAGACTGCAGCAAGTGCCTGCCACGGTTCTTCGGCTGCTGCCCAGAATTCCTTGTGCTGCAGTGGCTGCTCCGCTGCCGCGAGGATTTGCTGCATTCTGGTGTCTGTCCACCTGCGTCGGTCTTTAAACGAGACCTTGTTGTGGCCGAAGAGATTCGCCAGGTGTACACGCAACCACTGCCAGCCGCTGTCTCCAAGCGGTTTGCTGCGAGCAAACCGCAGCAGCGCGCGGGAGACGTCGTCTCCCATGTGGTTGAGGTGGGGGGGCAGAGGGTAGCAGCGGCCCCTAAAGTCGATGTTGTGCGGAAAGTACAGTGCAGAGCAGACACCGAAATTCTCAGCTGTCTCCAGCTTCAACAGAAACGAAGGACGTTCGCTCTTCATGCGCGTCTCCTGCTGCAGCAGATGCCGCAGCAACAACGACCGGCTCTCGCTGCTGCTGGTACTGGTGCCGCCCTGCTGCTGCTGCTGCTGCGCCTCGTGCTGCTGTAGCTGCTCGGCGATAGGCACGGAGTGGCGCGAAGGCATCTTGCCCAGGCCCTCTCCTGCTGCCCATGCGGCCTGCAGCACCCTCAGAACTTCTGTATTTATTTGCCAAGGGACAGAACCCAACAAGGAGACAGCAGTGCGAACCGTAGAAGTGTCGTACACCCGAAAATCCTGACAGGCCTTCGCACGAGGGCCCCAGCCTAAGTAGATCTCACTGCCCTTCTTGCTGCGTCCAGCCTTCTTCCCCCCGCTGCTGCTCCTGCTGCTGCTGCTGCTGGTTCCGGCTGCTGCGTCAGCATACGCACCCCCGACATCGGAGTCGGCTGGAGCCTCCTCCGAGTCGTGGACTGTGTCCGTGGATGCTGGGGTGCTGCTGCTGCTGCTGCAATCGCTGCTGCTGCTGCTGCTGCTGCTGCCCGGGTCTGTATCGGAGACACTCCGCACGAACGCTGTGCGCAACATCAAGTAGCCGCCGCTGCCATAGGATGTCCAGGGGGCTGGAGGCAGCAGCATGGGAACATGTTTCAGCATCAGCCAGAAAGGAGACGATAGACGGTCTGCTGCTGTACGGACAGTAGCAGCAGCAGCTGCCGCTGCCGCTGCTGCTGCTTCCGCGCCGCCTACACCTGAGGAGACCGGAGTTTGAGGAGAGTCGCCTTTACTATCAGTTGGCGCGCCAGAAACAGCAGCAGCAGCAGCAGCAGTTGCTGCTGCTGCTGCTGTCGCCAGGGAAGGTGCCGGCGTGCTGGTCGCCTCTGCAGCAGAACGTGCAGCAGCAGCAGCAGCAGCAGCGGCTGCTGCTTCTTCAGGACCAGTGCCTACAGCTGTCAGGCGGTCGAAGCAAAGCTGCCGCATTTCGATTATTCCAAATTTCTTCCGCCGCTTTGGGCAGTACACCACGCGGTGCCGGAAGGCCGGCAACTCAACCTGCATGCACAAACCCTAAACCCTAAACCCTAAACCATAAGCCTAGACAGCCACAAAGCAGTAGCATGATGCGAACCTACAATTCAGGGAAGAAGCTGCTTTAAATTCCCATGCCTTCCGCGTTCAGCCCACTTTAAGCCAAAAACTCTAAACCCTAAACCCTAAACCCTATGCCCTGTACCTAAACCCCAGCCTGGATCATTTCTGACCTTGTCGTGGCCGTGCCGAGATTTGTAGGCTACAAGGTGCTGCAGCTCTTTTGCTGCTCTCCCGGCGAGAGGCACATAAACCCCAGAGTCTGCCGCTCCATCTGCTGCCAATTCCGCTGCAATTGCTGCTTCTTCTTCAGCAACAGCAGCAGCTGCTGCTGCTTCTGCTTCCTTCGATGCTACAATGTCCTCAGCGGACTCAGAAACGGCCATCGCCGCTGCTGCTTCTTGCGCTTGCGTTGTTCGGGGCTGGTGCAGCTGCAGCTGGTGCCTTTGCTGCTGCTGCTGTTTTTGCTGCTCCTCCTCTTGTTTGCGGCGTCTGCTGAGGAGTATGCGCTGCTGCTCCGCCCGGTGCTGCTGCAGCTCTATCGAGAGCTCCTCTTTTGCTGCAGCGTAAGGGGCCTCGATCATGGCATGCTTCAGCAGTAGCTGCAGCAGCAGCCCCCCCACAGCCAAACGCTTTCTAGCGGGCCACCTCGGCAGCAGAACGGGTGCTGCTGCTGCTCCTTGTGCTGCAGTTGCGGCCCCGCTGCTGCTGCGTTGCTGCCTTTTCGGTTGCTGCTTACGGAGCGGCAGGTAGCACTGCCCTAGCTGCTGCTGCTGCTGCTGCCGTTCAAGAAATGCAGCAGCCACCTCCGTGTGCACTGCATCTCCAATAGCCATTGCGACTTGCGTCACGAGGGCTTGGCGCTGCTGCAGCTCCGGCCCTCCGGAAATCGAAGCAGCAGCAGCAGCAGCTGCTGCTGCTGCTGCTCCAGCCGAAGGAGAAGCAACAGTCAAACTTTCACGCCCCCTGTTGGTGGGCCCCGTAGGACCGGTGGCCTTCGGCAGCAGCAGTTGCTGCAGCACCGTGCGTGCAGCAATAACCGCTAGCAGAACGGGGTCGAGCTGCTGTGGTAAGCAGGCCTCATTGCTGTCCAGATCAGCAGCAACAGCAGCAGCAGCAGCTGCTGCTGCTGCTGCCGCTCCTGCAGTGGAAACGGCGGCTTCCGCGTCGCCAGAAGGGGCAGCAGCAGCAGCAGCGGCTGCTGCAGCAACTCGCCGCTGCCGATGCTGAAGCGCAGCAATGGGTTTAGCCATGTCGTGCACCCAGGGAACCCACAGCCTCTTAGCAGGGCCGGACTCCCCTCCCCTGCCTGCTGCTGCTAGCTGCTGCAGCTGCTGCTGCACCTCTGCTGTCAGGCGCCTCCATATGCAGCCTTCTATGATGACCTGTCTCCTCCGCAACACACTCACAGCCTCATCGACAGACGAGCAAGATGGCAGCAGCTCCTCCTCCTGCTGTTGCTGCTGCAATTGCTGGTCTTGCTGCTGTTGCTGCTGGTCTTGCCGCTGTTGCTGCTGCCGTTGCTGCCGCGGAAGGTTCGACGGCAGGTCTTGCTGCGTCCACCTAAGGGGAATGGGGTACGGGTTCGCGCCGTAGGCGGCTTCCTTTTGCCGCTGCAGCCACTCTGCATTCAGGAGCAGCGGCTGCTGCTGTTTCTGCTGATGCTGCTGCTGCTCTTCAGGCAGCTGCGCTGCCTGCAGGTGTGTGAACAGCTCCTCCTGAGGAACGTCTGCTAGCAGCAGCCCCTGCTGCATGGCTTCCAGCTCGAGAGCATGCAGACACAGCAGCACGCTGGCCGAAAGCCCTGCAGCAGGAGGGGCCTGCTGCCCCTCCTGCTGCAGGGTTTTAGCAGCAGCAGCACTTTCTCCAGCTGCTGCTTCTGCTGCAGACGTCGCAGCAGGGTCCTGCGTCTTGCCCAGCAGCCGGATATACACCTGGCGCTGCTGTGCACTGCCCATTTTCCGCAGCTCCTGCAGGCCTTTCAAAGCGGAAGGAGCATCTGCTGCTGCTGCTGATGGTGATGCCGATACTGATGCTGCCGCTTCCATTGGTGCTGCTTCCCGCTGCTCTAGCGCTGTGACTTCTGCTGTTGTCACAGATACTTCTGCTGCTGCTGCTTCCGCTGCTGCGCCTGCGGGTGAGAAATTATTTGGGCCGCTGCCAGCGGCACGCTGCATACACTGCTGCTGCTGTCGATGCTGTCGCTGGAGTTGCGGCTTCTGTTGTTGCCGCTGTTGTTGCTGCTGTTGCTGATACACATGGAGCGGCGGCTGGGGAAGGTCGAGAAGGAACTGTTCAAGAGAAGCCTCTTCCTGCCACTGCCAGGGATGCGGCTGCTGCTGCAGCTGCCCTTGTTGTTGCTGCTTCTGTTGCTGTTGCAGCTGATAAACTTTCTGCTGTTGCTGTTGCTGGTGCACGCCAGAGGCTGCAATGTGTCCTGGCCGCAACCCTCTATCGCTGGGAAGCTGGTGTTGCTTCACCTGGCTTTGCTGCAGCTGGCTCTGCTGCAGCTGGCTTTGTTGCAGCGCGTTTTGCGGCATATGGTGTTGTTGCATCTGGTGGTGATGCTGAAATTGCTGTTGCTGCTGCGCATACGGTTGCTGGCGCAGCAACTGCTGTCCCCATGGAGGCAGATCCAAGTGATGGTTTGGCTGCCCCCAACAGGCAGCGTTTGCAGCAAACGGGAAGTCATCTTCTTCAGTGAGGCGCTGCTGCTGCTGCTGCTGTAGAGGCGAGTGGTGCTGCGCGTCCCTATACTGCGCAGCAACCGCAGCAGCAGCTGAACTAGCTGCGCGGGAGGCAACACAGTGCTGCTTAGGCAAACAAGAGGAGATTTCTCCTGGAAAAAGCTGCCGCAGCAGCATCTGACGCTGCAGCTGCTGCTGCCTCCGCACTGAGCAGCGCAGCAGCAACTGCTGCTTCACAGGTCGGCAAGGCCTCCCAGCAGCAGAAGTAGCTGCAGCTGCTGTTGCAGCAGCTGCTGCAGCTGCTGCTACATCAGCCCTCCTGTGCGGAGTGATCCGGTGAAGCAGAGACATAGCCTATGCCCAGTCCTGGGCCCCACAGCAGCAGCAGCTGCTGTCGCTGCTGCTGCCGCCACAGCAGCGGCTGCCCCGTTGCTGCAATGCGTTGCGCTGCCACCCGCTGCTTCAATCTGAAGTCTGGATGGCCTTGCGAACGCATCAGAGGAAGAGCCCGAACTCCCAGAAGGAGATCTGCTGTTGAGGCACAAACGAAGCCTTCTACTTCCTCAGTCTCTCTTGCTGCTGATGCCGCTGCTGCTGCTGTTGTGGTTGCTATCAGTGCTGCAGCGTCGGGCTCGGAATACGTACACCCCAGAAGGAGATCCATTACTTAAGCAACAAGGTAAAACTCACTAGAAGTTTTGCTGCTGCTGCTGCTGTTGCTGCTGCAGGGTCGGCGGCCCTCGAGACCCCATGGGGGCCCCAGCGAGGCCCCTCAGGGGCCCCACACCTGTTCTCACCGCATCTCTTCGTCGTCTCAAAACTCAATTAAAATCTAAAAACAGTTAAATGCATGCTTGTTTTCTCGTACCAAGTAGGCCTGCACTGCAGCTACTTTGGTGCTATTGCCGCCGCCGCTGCACTCTGGGCCGCTGCTGGGCCCAGGGCCCTAAGAAATCCCAAGCCTCTTAGGGCCCCCCTAGGGCCCCCCTGGGGCCCCGCCAACTCAACTAAATGCCCAAGCAATGCATGCTGCCTTTGTAGATGCCGCTGCATGCGTCAAAAGGGGGGGGGGACAAGAGCAGTGAACTACTCAGCAACTGCAGCAGCAGCAGCAACCGCAGCGGCAACCGCAGCAGAAACTGCCGCAGCATCTGCACGAACAAGACAAACGGAAGGAGCAGAAGAAACATCAGCAAAGACACTCGGTCCTGCTACAGCAGCAGCGAGAACAGAGGAAGCTGCTGCTGCTGCTGTGGAGACGCAGATGACTGCCGGTTTCCCTTCAAGAGGATCATCCTACAATTATGCTGCTGTTACTGTTGCTGCTCGTGCTGCAGCACGAACAACTGCAGCAGTAGCTTCTGCATCAGCAAGGTATTTGGGCTGCAGCAGCCTCAGGGGTACCACCACAATAATCAATTTCCAAGGCATTGCAACATGCAGCAAGATTGCAGCAGGAGCTGCAGCAGCAAGGGCTGCAACAGCAGCAGCCGGTGCAGCAACAGCAGGTGTTGTTTTTGCTGGCCAATGCCCATGGTCTTGCGTATGCGCAGTAATAAATTGCAGCAGCTGTGTAACTGGTCGACAGCAGCAGCCGGTGCTGCAGCACACGTTGCAGCAGTGCCTGCAGCCGCAGCAGCAACAGCGGCAACCTGGGCAGCAGCATCAGCGGCGGTTTGCTAAGATAGTGCGGTGGAGCCCAGATACCCCACTGGCGTACGGCCTAGAGACGTTTAAAGACGCGGAGGATTTCTTCAAGGCATGCGAACAAAATAGTGGTGCGCTCTTGCTGCTCATTCTGCTGCTGAAGCTGCTGCAGGTGCTGATGTTGCTGTGGGTGCTGCTCTTCTTGGTGCAGTATCAAGGACTGTTGCTGCTGCTGCTGCTTCCTCCCGCCTTCTGGCCGTGCCAGAGTGGCGACTATGATCATAGTGGTTTTGCGCCCTACAAATACAATCACTGCGGGTGCTGCTGCTTCCGCTACTGCTGCTGTCGCTGATGTTGCTGGTGTTGCTGCTGTTGGCGGTGTTGCTGCTGTTGCCTAAAGGCAAAATGAAACGAAGGGACTGGCTGGCTGCTTTGTCTTTGCTGTCTACGCGGCGTCGCCTTGACCTTCGGAGTCCTTTGTTTAGAGCCTTTGCTGCTGCTGCACTGCAGCAGCAGGAGCTGCTGCAGGCCCCACACATACATCTCACCATTCACCGGTGAGAACTGCTGCACAAACAGCAAGAGAAAACGGCAGATCGAATGGCCTCTGTCTCAGGAGAAACAGAAAAAATAGCCGCAGCCATTGCATCATGCAACCAAGCTGCTGCTGTTGCTGCTGCGGTTGCTGTTGTTGCTGCTTGCCCATAGGCTTGGCGTTATAGGATACAGCCCAGCTATCTGGCGGCTGGCGCTGCACCTCCAGCCCCTGCTGCAGCAGCAGCAACTGAGCGGCAAACAACTCGCTGTCTGTGCGTGGGGCCTCGCGAAGAATGGGGTGACGCATCCCCCTGTATGGGACCTTATCGGTGCGCAGGAAGAAACCCGAAACCCTGGAGGTTTGGCAGTAGGGCAAAACCCCTTGCATCAGAGTGCTTCAACAGGTTCATAGGCCTAGTTATATGGCCAAGGGCTTGGGATTAGGGTTTAGGGTTTAGGCTTTAGGGTTCGGGGGGTTATTGCAGGGGCGGAGGCGCTGCGGCTGGCAAGGGGACTTTGTCTGGCGGACCTCTCGATGATTCTCTGGGCCTTTGCGCGTGTTGAGGTACTCAAACCATAAACCCTAAACCCTGAACCCTACAGCAACGGGCCAACACAGCAGCAGCTGGACGGCACACATCTGAGGAGGGAACATGTGCGCTGCAGCAGTGCAGCAACACAGCTTGCTTCAGCTGATACACCGTCTAAATATAGACAGTTCACTTAAGCCCTAAACGCTAGGCCTTAAACCTCCATCTTTGCCAGCATGGCGAGCGGCAAACCAACAGCAACTGCCAAGCTCGTCAAGGTCTGCTGCCGCTGATGCAATGACAGGCAGCGGCAATAAAAGGGCATGCAGAAAGAGGCTAACGCCGCTTCTGCGACAACCACACAAAATTGTTGCGGCTACTGCTACTGCTGCTGCTACTGTTTGTCGGGGTGTATGCACAGCGCCTAAAGCCCGCCGAGATCTTGGGCCTCAAAGAGGAGGTGCTCAACCGCTTGGAGGTCGTCGTGCGGCAGACGCTCGCTGCAGCAGCTGCACCCTACCGGAGAGCAGCAGCAACAGCAGCACCAGACGCTCCTGCTGCTTCTGCTTCTGCTTCTCCAGTTGTGCCTCAACTCATGCGGCGTCCCGATGGTACCATTCAGGGTTTGACACAAAAAACGCTTGCAGAGGCAGAGCCAAGTGCCCCGGTTTCTGTTGCTGCTGCTGCTGCCGCCGCCGTTGTAGGTGTAGTGACACCTCACGACCTGTGCATGCTGATTAGGTCGTTTGCCGATCTCACCCCCGGTGACTCAGCGCTGATCATTCGTCTGCTGTATACTCTCCTACTCGTCTGTCGCGCCCCGCCTTCAGTCCCGGCAGCAGCAGCAGCAACAACAGGAGAGGAAGGACCGCTTCGTGCGATGGACGGCCCTACTGCCTTTAGTTGCCCTGCCCCGCTTACTGCGCAGGTACGTGGGGGGAGGCGAGCCACGTGCAAGATAGCAATAATCTATCTGCTGACAAGCTGCTGGCTATCTGCTGTCTAGCTGCAGGCTATGTGCTGAGTAATTGTTGATTAAGCGCCGGCTAGCTTCTAGCTAGCTGCAGACTAGCTGGTAGACGAGTCGGACAAGCGGCAAGTGGTGTTGTTTGCGTGTCAGGGGCTTACTGCTGTTTGGACAGCTTTGAAAGACGCCGAAATCACAAAAGTTTTCTCTGTGCCGCCACACAAGAGACCCAGCAACAGCAGCAGCAGCAGCAGCAGACACCGCGCCTATTTGCCCTTTAGAGAGAGTGTCCCTCTCGAGTGTCTGCCTCTGCTGCTCCCTATCCTCAAGCCAACCCAGGTGTATTCACAAGGAGATCCACAAGGAGCTGAGCCAGCTGCAGCAGCAGCACCCGTAGAAGCAGCAGCAGCAGCAAGAGCAAAAACAGCAACTGATGCTCCGATTACCTCCGGGGCAGCCGATGTGGGGCAAGCCACCGGGCCGGCGTTGGGTTCAACAGGAAAGGAGTCTCCTCCTTTCCCTGCTGCAGTGCCCGCTGCAGCCGCCGCCGTTGCTGTAGCAGCAAAGGAGGGCCTAAGGAGCAGCGCGTTGCTGCACAGCGCATGCACCGATGTGCTGCTCGAAGTGCTGTGCGAGGAGACCCGATTGCTTCGCCTTGATCATACAACCAACACCAGCATGGTGGCTACCTTAGCAGAGGCGTTGGCTGAGTTGCAGGTGAGCTGAGCTCTAAGCATTGAACCCACACTCGTACATGCTAAGCCGCAGACTGTTCAGAGGACCCTTCGCATGTGTGTGTTCGTGAGAGGGAGGGGAGGAAAGGGAGGGCAGAGGCCGGCAGACACGGGATCGCTGTGCTGGGATCGTGCGTGGGGCCGCAGCTCGTCGATCCCCGCGTAGTGTACCAGTTGGTGCTCTTTGCGCATCAACGGGGGGCGGCTCAATTTCAGGGAGAGCAGCTGCTGAAGTTCCTTGAGGCATTTGAGGGATGTCAGATCACCGACAGCAAGGCGTGGGCCAGGCTCGGTGAGCTGCTGCGGCTGCTGCTACCACGATTGCTGCAGCTCATGTTGCAGCTGCTGATGGACATGCTGCTGCAGGCGCCGCTGCAGCCTTTTCTGTTGCAGCTATTTTACTTTTGTAGCAATGTGTGCGGCCGTGATATCCCTGTTGCTGATGCTGTTGCTGGTTCTTCTGTTGCTTCTGGTATGCGTAAACTGCAGCTCACCGAGCGCAGGACGTGGCTGCTGACTTGGATTTGAAGGGACTGAAGCGACTGCGACAGCTGGCCAGGCGTTCGGGCCACAGCAACGCTAGGATTGAAGGAGTTGTTGACCACTTTGAGGCTCTGAAGGAAGATGTGCAGCGCTGTGGGCCCCTATAGAGCCGCCTTGGGGTCCCCTGGCCAGGGCAGTTTTCTGGGGGGTTTCTATTCGGTGACTGTCTATAAGACGGTCCCTTGGGTGTCTCCTCTTCAGACCTCAAAAGCGTTTCGAATGGCTGCAGGGACAGACATTCAGACAAATGGTTGGTTGTGCAGCTGAAGGAACAAACACCTGTCTCCTGGTTTTTGTTCTCTTGCTGTTTTCAGCAAAAGTCTAACTCTGAATAATAAACTTAAATTACGAGAGCAAAAGTCGCTGCTACAACTGTGCAACTTCCTTTGCAAAATTGCGTGACCCCCTCCAGGTATTCCGCATGTCCTCTTACGCTCCTTGCATGCAGCGCTTGTTAGAATGCGGTTTAGGGCTTGGGGAGAGGCTTTGCCTGCATGGGAGTGTGTAGCATTGGCAGGCAACGAGCTGTGTTGATAGTCCAGTGGCGCCCGTGTTGCTAGATGTCAAAGCTTGCAACTGCATCTACAGGCTGCAGATCTCGAGTTGCATCAGAGCTCAGCTGGCGCCCACCTCGGCGACTTCAAGGCTGCAGAGGAGACAGCGTGGCCCAGTTTAGTAGTGTATATTAGCTGCCAATAAATGGAGACAGCCTAAGAGATAAGCTAGAAGCGGCACTGAGAGATAGGGCGAATAGTAATTATTGTTGATGCTGATGGTATTAAATAATGGCATCATTATTTTTACTAAAAATAAGTAAAAATAATCGTGCAGACATGCCCGTGAGGCAAAACCAGGACACTGCAGCAAACTATCCAGCTGCGGAGATGCGGAGATGTTATTTTTCTTCCTGCTTTGAAGTTTAGAGGTCAGAGTTGTGGACGTACACGGTTTAGAACCGCTGCCTTCCATGCATATACGATATACACCGGGCAGTGCGCATCTTTACGCTGGGAATCCCGCAGCGGCTCAGACACCACAGACAAAAGCAAGAGGCGAAGAGAGGGCTAGAGCGGGCTGAAAAGTGTCTCTTCGGTGGTGCTTATAATTCATACGCAGTGTAATAAGAGCAGCAGAGGGGAGTGTTTACCCTCTGCTGTTCCCATTACACTGCACCGTGGGACTCGAGGTGCGGGCGCCCCATCTCATATAAATACACGAGTTGGTAGACTGCGAAGGGAGATATATGCGTCTGTCAAAGGGCGGTGCAGACGGGACCAGAACGCCGCACTGACATGGGGGTGTCGAGGTGAATAGGTAGCCCTGCTAAAGGGCAACACGCTCCAACTTCTACTTAAAGAGTTCCCAATTTTCTGTGCCTTGTGCAGCAGGAGAAGCCGAGAATGCGGTTGCAGGCTTGGGGGCTGATGATAGAGGGACCAGTGGTGCATCGGAGGGCGGGTGCTCAGGCAAGCAAGGAGAAGCATCCCGCAACATTCTTTTCTGATAACTCGCCGATATTTTCGCAAAAATATCATTTAAAGAAGTCCTTATGACTTGTTTCACAACTAATTCGAACCTAGAGAGGTTCCTAATGTTCTTCAGAAGCCCCACTGCCGCAGCGGATGCGGCCGCCGCTGAAAGTGACTCTTGAAGAGGACGGTGGCGTTGCCAGTCCCAGGAGTATTTTGCCCTGAAATGCACTAATTAATCATATAAGCTATTTGAAAAGGATATCCTTTTCTTTGGTTTTGGCTAGGGGAGGCCGGCGGTGTGACGCGTTACGCGCGCCTACGGGCTGAGCAGAACTGGCCGCAGCGCTGCAGGCAGCAATACCTCGAAACACTTCGTCAGCTTGCCTTTGTCCTCTCTGTATCTTCCCTACGTATGCGAGGCTTACGATGACATTTACTGGCCTTAACTGCCGACGCTGAGGGCAAGAAGTGAGCTGTTCAGCGGCCTCCCTCTCATTGCAGGGAGAGATCTAGCAACATTTGGGTCTCCCTTGTCATCTCCCGAGCTGCTGAATCGACTCACACGTTGCAGCAGCGACCCCTCCCGTCCTTCCCGGGTGTGTCTACTGCAACAGCCCCTGTGACCTTCGAGTCCCTCTGCACAGTGATCTCCTGGTCTCTGTCTTCAGCACGCGCCGCCAATCCAGCTTTCAGTCAGCCCCTGCATGGCATCATTCCCACGGGACACCGTCAGCTGAAAAGCACGCAGAAGAAGACAAAGAAAAGTGAGCGAGAAGGGCCAATAGAAAGGCTCCATAGTCGTGTGCGGACTGTCTGCGTGTTCTGTGTTCAGCTGTGTGTGCGCACTCTACGAACTCGGCATAGCTTAAGACAAAGAAATTCGGAGATCAAGCCTACTGTTTACGAGGCACCCAATGGAGACTGTGAGGGGCGAAAACCATGCGCTGGTCGTTGTTGGCTCGAGGCCTCATCCCAAGTGTACGTAGAGCTGTCGATCTTGCACAGTTAGCTTTCGCGCAACACAGGCTCTGCATGCATCTTCTTGCTGGACGTACTACATCCAGGGTTACTTTTTCTGGTTTTTTGTGCAGCTTTGTTTGGCCAGCTGCTCGCCATAGGGGCCCTTCCTCTCTCGATCTCTACCGCTGAAGGCGAGAGCCACACCAGGAAGGGGCACTCCGCTATTGCCAAGGTACTCTCTACACCTGGGCCTTTTGCATAAATGTTTGCTGCTTCGTACATGCAGGTGTTCATCAGAAACATGCAATGTATAAGCATGCAAATCGGGTGGTGTGGCTGGTGCAGCACATCAACGACAGAGAACTGCGACGGCTACAGCTGCCCAGCCTTCTCATGGCCTTGCTGCCCCCTGCAGCTCCGCTGGAAGACCAAGGGGGAAACACTAGTGGAAGCAGCAACGATGCGCTGCCGGTGCAACAACAGGCCCTTGTAATACGTGGCGCAGCTTCCCTGGTGCTGCAGCAGTGGCTGTTGCTGGCAGCGGATGCTCTGCAGTTGCTGCGGCGTTTGCTTCAGCCAGAGAAGCAACACCACCGGCGCAGCAGCAGCAATCCCGAGCAGTACCAGCTTTTGGGGAGGCATCAGCAGCAGGACTCAAGGAGGAAGAGGGTGAAGACAGCCGAGGCCCCAAGAGAAGATGGCGGAAAAGAGCAGCTGGAAGATGCAGACGAAGCAGCAGAGGCAATCTGGGAGCAAACAGCGGTAGGCTGTACACCTCCAAGCCAAAATATTTTTTTCACAGTAAGGAACAAGAGTATTACATTGTTTGAAAGGCTCAAACAGCTGTAGTAGCATGCTGGTGTTATTGCGTATGCTGCGCTACTGCTGCGGCTCCAGCGACTGCAGCTGCAACAGCAACACCAGCAAGGGGAGGAAGAGTCTCAGCAGCGACTGAAACGACTGGGAAGCGTCTTTGCTACTCATCTGCAAGAGGCAGAGTCTTGTGTTAGAGCCAGCAGAGACAGTGCAGGTCTGCTGCTGCAGCGGGGGGGCCCTGACCTCTTCAACGCTTGCTGGGCTGCTGTGGCCACTCCCTTGCGCTCCGGAGGGACACGACCCGGGCAACACCTGCAGCAGCAGCAGCAAATGGGCTCTCACGAAAGGCTCCTTGCTGCTGCAGGAGACGCGCAGGCTCCCGGCATGTCGTGGAGACGCTGGGCATTTGGGGGCCCGGACCCTCACCAGCCTTTCCCTTCAGCAGCAGCAGCAGCATCCAGTGCAGTAGCAGCTGCTCCAGCAGGCAAGAGCGCCTTTGTTGCAGTGGCGGAACTGGCAGGTGAACGAGGACAAGACGCAGAGGTTGAGTCTGCAGACTTTGCAGATATGTGGGGACCCCTTCCAGAGGAAGAGCAGCGAGAAGACTACGAAGCACAGCAGCAGCAGCAGGGAGAAGGTGGGGAGGCAGCTCAGGATATCTATGCGGGGCCGAAAGCATCTCGGAGAACGGGAGTGAGTTACTACCGCTGCTGTTGTTGCCGCCTGCATGCACCAGCAGGCATTTCAGGAGGCCGTGTCTTAGCTAATGGGCTTCCCTTCTAATGCTGTATGTCTCACGCGCCTGCTGCAGCAAGGCCACGGAGTGCAGCTGGACACCAACATTTCACGAAGAACAGCACGCATAAGCAGCAAAGAGAGGACCTTTACAAGCCTGCTCAGCAGAAGTAGCACAACTGTAGTTCCTTCACGACTCCGCCCTGCCGCGAAGTACCTGGCAGCAACAACTTTTGAGGTTCATGAGGTTAGTCTTCTCACCGGAACTTGCTGCAATTGCTGCTACTGATGCTGTTGTTGCTGCAGCTGCTGCTGGAAAGAATCTTCCCTCAGCACGAAAAAGGGGCGGTGCTGGTTGCGCTGTCTCGCAGCTGTACGCAGTCCATCCAGTTGTGAACCTGTACGGGTGGCTACAGCAGCAGCTCCTCTCTGGTTGCAAGCCTACTTGGAACGTGCTTCATACGCCAACAGCCGCAGCAGCAGAAGGCCATAGCGGTACTGCAGGGCAAGCTTTAAATTGGCTCTCCACTGCCCCTGGGCCCCGGTTGGCTGTTGCCGCTTCAAAATCAAAGGACGCACACCAGCACAGCGTGGGACAAGGGAATACGTGGCCCCGACGGGAGTGGGAGGGAGACTTTACACTGTACACTGAGGCAGAACTGCAACAACAGCAGCAGCAGCAGCAAGATAGCAGCAGCAGCAGGCGTAGAAGCGGGGATCTTCTGGGGGGGAGTGAGTACGTGGAGGTGTTGCGAGGCATCTTTGACAGCAGTAGTATGCAGCAGAGAGCCACACAAACCCGTCTAACCCAACTGCCAAGAGAATCGGTACGACAGTTCGGTGCTGCTCTCTCTGCTGTTGATCCTTGTGTTGCTACTACTGAGGCTGCTGGCGCATTCTTTGGTGAATCTGTACGTGCAGCATCGCTTGGCAATCCTTTGTGTTGCCTGTCAAACAAATGGTGCTGGTACTGCTTGCTGGTGGTGGCAGTCGTGGTGGTGCTGCTGCTGCATTATGTTGCAGCGTCGCGCAGCCCAATTCCGACGATTGCCTAGTGCTGCTGCTGTTGTTTTTTTGCTTTCGCGCTCCGTTGCTGCTGCTCATGCATGCATTGCAGGAAGCTTCAAGCACTTCGCGGTTGGGGAGTAGCAGGAGGGCAAGCGGCCTGAGCGCTCCTTCCTCGGATGCGTCCCTGGAGGCCCTGGCTTACGGCGACTTGCCTGACTTTGATGGATGCCCCACTGAGTTCAGCGATGACCAGCAGCAGCAGCAGCAAGAGAGGCAGCAGAAGCAGCAAAATCATCTTGAAGTTCACGGAACAGCCGTTGCCTCGCTCAGGCTTAGACAGCTGCTGCAGCAGTATGCGCTTACTCATCCGGACCTCACAGGGCACCTACTGACGGGGGGAGAGTCGCTGAGGGCGCATCAGCAGGAGGGGCAGCAGCAGCAACTGCAGCAGAGCGAGAATACAATTCCGCTATCTCGGCTCCTGCCGAGAGGCCGCGTTGACCCACGCACTGCCTGCTGTACCTTTTCTCATCTGCTGCTGTTGCACAGACACGGCTCAATTAAACTGAAGCAGCTGCCGCAAACCCTCCCCATGCCCTCAAACAACCCTTATCCAGAGATGTTTGTACACGTGACGCAGCAGTGGCGCAGGGCAGATGAGGCTGCATGGGAGCACCAGCAAGAGGTGGAAGAGGAGCAGAAGCAACAGCAACAGGAGGAGGAGCAGCAGACATACCCAGAGGAGCAGGCAGAGCAGCAGCGGCACGATCTGCAGCAGCCAGAAGGATCGGCGAGTGGACTCAGAAGGACGGAGGATGACAAGGAGGTGTCTAGCACTTCTTCAGACCAGAAGCAACTCGGGGAGGTACGGCAGCAGCAGCTCCAGCGACACACAAGAGGGGGTCCCAAGTCCACAGGTTTTCCTGTTGCCGCATGCAGAAACCGCAGAAGCCCCAGACCTCCTTGACTGCATCCTTCCTCACGCGATGCCCTGTGTTCGTTTTCTCTGCATCTCCGTTTTTATTGTCAATTGCCTTCCGCTCTACCCTCTGTCGCCTTTCCTGCTGTGTCTCTATTGCCGCCCTTTTCGGCTTCTCTTTTGCATTTGTGAGGAGGGAGACAAGCGCAGTAGGCGTGGGTTGGCGTCCTCCCCCATACCATCATCATTATCAGACACCAACGGCTCGCGCAACCCAGCACGCCATTTTTGCCGCTGCTGCTCCTTCTTCTCATGCTGCTTGTGTTGTGAGGAAGTGCAAGACACCTCTTTACAAAAAGAGACGTCGTGCTTCTGTAGTTGGCTGTGGCTGTCGATGGGTGCTTGCCTGTGAGGCACTTTGTACACGGCGTTCCACGTTGTGTATACGCCTGCAGTCTGGCCCTACACGGACGAGGCCAAACCTTGTAGCTCCAGCTACTTCTTGTGTTTGTACGTGTATGAGTGCATGCAAACGCGCTGATACTGCGCGCCAACACAGCTGCAAAAGCGCTACTGAAGCTGCTTTTGTTGTTGTTGGTGGTGGTGGGGCTCCTGCTAGAGCTCTTGCTGCGCCTGGTTAGCACGGCGTTCCGAATCCCACGGGAAGCCTTCTAAACAAGCTCTCTCGTGTTTGCCTCTTTGCTGAGAGGAAGCATACCTCTGGAGGCTCTCAGGAACAGCTCTAAACTACAACGTTCACAGTTTTTGTAACAAGTACCAGCCAGTTTGTACAGGTGCAAGTAGAGGACTAGTTGCCTCGTGCGCTAAGTGCAGCGGAGCACCGGCTAGCAGCACCGTGCTGCAGCTAGCTAGCTGGTGAATCTCAGCTAGGCAATGATAGGACTCTCCTGATGAAGCGACACTGGAAGCTACAGCGCGCCAACATCTTGCATGCAGCATATCAACAGGGGGACGAATCCTAGCAGCTGCAACTGCTGCACGAAGTTGCGGCAGTTGCAGCTGCTAGGATTTGTACAGCAGGTGTTTTGGCTTGAGGGAAGGGCAGCTAGCCAACAGCGAGCTAGATAGGTGCGTGTCTAACAACGCTAGCAGTCTACGCACCCACTGCCCCGTGGAATAACCATATACCTGCGCAGCTAGCTGAGGAGGCCAGACAAACGAGGAGACGACGAAATGTCGAAAGGGACAAGCTGTGCATGCTTCACTATCCCTGCTTCTCGAGCGTTTCTTGAGGCAGTCCAAACCCTTAATTCTGTGGAAGTTCCTTTCTAGCCAGCAGGGCCAGCAGATCCAAAGCTGCAGCCAACTGCTGCTCTAGATTGATTGCGGAGAAGGGAGGGATCTGACGGCAAAGCAGCCAGGCAAGAAAAAAAACAAGAACATATGATAGAAATGGGAGACTTAGGGCGCAACGCGTAGTACTAACTGGACAGCTACCCAGCTGGTGGCTAGCTACCGGTCTAGCTAGCTAGCCCCCCGTAGGGCTTGAATGCGTACGTGCACGAACAGAGAGGTCACTCCACTCGACTGCCCCTCCTGTAAACTCTTGAAACTGCAGAAAGAAATAAGAGCAGGTGCCAGCAACCGCGGAAGAGGCAAAGATATAGAGATAAAACACAAGTAGCACAACTCATACGCGGGTTCCTGAACCCCTGAAGCAAAATGTGCAGCTGCTGAGTGGGAGCGGCTCACTAGAGAAAATTGCAAACGAAACAACCCGCATCTTCGGAAACACTGCAGGAGAGACCCTGCCGGCTCAGTTCAGCAGCAACAGACTGAACAGAACCCACAGCAGCAAGCAGAAAACGACCACACCACCAAAACTAGGACTATCGTCCGCTGCTACACACATTGAACACGCATTCGAACCGGGGTGGCCTGCTCTGGGGAACTTGATGGAATATCTTAGGAAAGAAACAGTTACTTCAAGCCCAAGTTTTCACCAGGCAGTTTCTTCAGGCCTTTCCCAGGCCGTCTTCCTATCGATTTTATTAGAACTAAATGCCCAACATATTCATGTTGAGCCGCCGCTTACCTCCAAACAAAGTGATGAACGCAGACTGGCCTCAAGAGGTATGCAATCCGAGATAACGTCGGAAGCAGGCCGACAACCCCGGGCATCCCTACAAGGAAAACGAGCATCTACTCAGCAACAGCGGCAGCAACAACAGAAAAAGCAGCAGCTACAGGTACGGCAGGGGCTCCGGAAGTGCCGCCAAGGCGCCTACAGTCAAGTGTCGTGGATGCATGAATTGTAGAACGAAACTGCTGTCTGCCATTTTACCATTTTTTGCAGACATTTCAAGCCGCCAGCTGTCGTTCTGCATGCTGACCCCGAAGTGCAGAACTAAAGTCCGAGCTTCCTCTTTCCTGTCTGCTGCTGCAGCATCGGTGGGGGCCTTTTCATTCTTTTCTTGGTTTTCTCGAAAAACTGAGTATTCTCTATCTGCTACAGACGCATGTAATCTTTTCTTTTGACTTTTTCGGCGGAGTGCAGAGTGGATGCGGGGCACCGCTTCGGTCGCTGCCTCCGCTGATACTTCTAACACTTCCCAGCCACAGAGCTCAATAAGCCCTAGACGCTCAGTAGCGGCAGAACCTACCGTAGAAGGATCAAGGGCGCTGGCACTCAGGGATTCCCTCGAGATCCTGAGGCCTTCACCCGTCCTCGAGGAACAGACAGGCCGTGCGCTGTTCTTTTCTTGCAGCGGAGAGGAAGAAGTTCTCTGTTCGCTCCCGAGTGCTGCCGCCAAATGTTTCACAAGCGTGGCGGACGGGTTGTCTGAAACGTTGCCAAACGGGCCGAAACCAGTCAAGTAGACTAGGAGGCGCGGTGGCCCCTGTGAGCCGCAAGCTCCAGACCCTTCCATTATGCTGGGGAGGGGAATACAGCAGTGGCAGAAAGGCCATCTACCTAGAACGAGATAGTAGAACAAACACACGAGGCAGCGTTGACGCTTCTCATGAAGGTTGTGAAGATGCGGAAACAAGGTTAAACAGACACTGGCACACTTGAAAAAATATCACGCTTATGTGAGCAACCCACCGATCCCTCCACACTGACAAGTGCAAAGAGTATGTTTAAAATGAAATCGACAATCGTGTGGTGAGTAGGGAAACGAACCTGCAGCTGCACTGCCAAAACACCCCTCCCTGAACTCTTATTGGAATCCAAACATGGCCCTTCCCATATTGCTACCTTCTTTAGGATACGCACCAAAAGTTTCATTTGCTTTCAGAATTTCCATGTGTTCGGTGCGACAAGTGAGTGTACACTTTACGAAAGCATTTCCACTCAAAAGCCCCACAGGGTGGCGTGTCTCGCCTGGCTAACGTCGTTCTGCTAGGCTGCGGACGCTGGTCCGAATCGTCTAGAGGTTAGGACAACACGTTGTGGCCGTGTAAACCCAGGTTCGATTCCTGGTTCGGACACAGTTTTCTTTTCCTTTGTATAGGTACCCTTCCAAAGTTTGGAGAGAAACGCGCTGTATTATTACATTCTTGTTATGAGGATCAGAGAGGGAGTCACGACCTTTTGCCAGGCTTGAGGAAGGGGTCCACTGGCTGCATTTCCTGCATCCCTGAGGCCGTCTGCTCATTAGCTTCGCTGAAGCGGAATATATGATTAAAAAGAGGGGTTAAAACCCTTTTGCGCCGATGATTTTCGCCTCTGCTGCGACACTGCGCCGGTTGGTGGCAGCGCTACAATGCCTTGGGCTTAATTGTGTGCTCCCAGTGGGCGGGGAGTGCAGCCGCAGGCAGTTTATCCTAACAACCTTGCTGAAGCTGCAGTACCTCATAGAGCCTCCACAGTTCTCATCTCAAGGTGAAGGGGGAGAGGCACAAGCCGAGTTGTCTCAACGGGGGGACATGGGCGAACCAAGTGACCCTACGGAGCAGGCAGCTTTCTCTGCTGTGCGAGAGGCTGAAACCCCCCCAAAACAGCTCATATTGCTGCATCACCTTGCAGCTTTCATTTTGCAGAGGGTGGGCGTCGATCTCGATCTGCAGGTCCTCTTCCGTGCAGAGGCAGACGCTATCTCGGAGCTTCTGCGGCTTGCGGAATCCCTTGCAGATGGCGTGAGGCAGGCACTAAACAGTCAAGCAACTTGCAGGGAAGGAGAAGAGGAGGGAGGAGAGATCAAGAGAGAAAAACCTTTTGAGGTTCCCCAAACCTTGTGGGTTAGAGATAATGCGTGCGGTTTAGTGAGACCGCCTGTCCATGACCCAGTACCATTGCATGTTGGGGCCTGTTCCCCAAGCACTTTTAGCTGCAAAGTATAACCGTCGTGGGCAAGGCAGGGTATCGCACGAGGTAAAGGCTTGGATACGCGGGCCTCGAGCCGATTGTACGCGGCCTTGTTGTGTTGTTGTGGCGCGAGGCGCAGCAAAGAGGCAGTTCAGGCAGTACAAGTGCAAGTAGAAAGAGTCCTCGTGTCCGTGCAGAACTTCTATGGGGAAGAACAGACGCAGGAGAGGAGCAAGGCAGGAAGGTTCTTGCAAACCGTCTTGGCCTCAGAGGCATCCTCGGCGAGGGCCGCTGTTGCTGCTGAAGCGGCTACAGAAGCGGCCAGCAGCAGCAGCAGCAGCAGCAGCAGCAGCAGGGCGTTGCTGGGGGAGCAGCTAAATAGGGGTCGACAGGCCCTCGCTGATGTAGAGAGAAGCAACGAGGCGCTCGCCTCCCATGTGCAGGAGCTGAAGGAAAGGGTCCGCAGCGCGGAGCGAAACGCAGATCGTCTCAGCAAGCAGTTGCTGCTACTCGGGCGTTCTCAGGACTCTGCTCTTGCAGCTGCTGAACAACAGCGGCAGCGTGACACGCAGGAACAGCTGCGCCAGCTGTACGTACAGTACGCACGAAAGTCTGCTGTCTGCGACACCCTCACTGCATCCATGGAGGCTAACGCAGGGAGCGCCGAGACAGCAGCAGCTCAGAACAGGCTTCGACTTCAGCAGGCTAGGCAGCAGATGCGGCTGGAGCATGCCGCACCTGCACCCTCCACCGAGACCCAGACTAATGTAAGACTCACCCCGCCTGTGAGAGTTGGGACCTACCACTGCTCCCCTCCCCACCTAGCCACCCCCTCCCTTGCCGCGGCTTCCAGCCACTTATGCGCCAACCCTGTTACTTCACTTGGTCTGGATACAGCACCAGCACCGCCTAGACGAAGGGCTTCTTCGTTACATGCATTCTATTTGAAGCGTGCAGGTCCCGTACAATCCAGGGAGGTTCCGATGTATGCTAGTAACAGTCTTATCTGAATGCCGTACAGCTGTTTTCGTGTGCTGCTGTCGTTGCAGTGCATGGACACCCTGTGCGGGGGAATGTCCGAGGACGTGGGTCTGACCCTGGCCTCTTCTGAACAGCTCTGTACGGAAGGCAGCGAACTCGACCTTGGTGTTATATAATCTGTCTCGAGACGCGCGGCGCCTGCTTGCCAATTGTCCAACATTCGCAGAAACTCCATGTATGACCCTAAACCCTAAAACCCGAAACCCTAAACCCTATGCCCTTAAACAGCTGCAACCCAGCTGCGGTTAACCTAGCAAAAGGCGCTGTCTCAGTACACAAGACTATCTCCGGTATCTTCAAGCACGTGAAAAGCGACCGATCCCAAAAATTCTTCAGGCCCTCAATATGAAAAAAATTTGCAAAACACATTGTTGATGCGCGCGGCCCAACTAACTTTTGTTAATTGGCTAAGGTGCTGATCGCTGACTATGCTTCCGCTTCACAAGGCATCTTGCAGGGTGTTCATGCGCAGCAGATGTACGCGTAGCTCTGGCTGCTGTGTTGGCTGTATCGTTGGTCTTGAGTCCCTGCTCATTCTGTCTTCTCTTTTTCTCCTTTTCAACCTTAGGGCCCATGGCCCTGTCAGCGCGGCTTGCCGCCGTTGTTTCTGCACCCCCGGGCGATGGAATACTGGCTGCTTCGCTTTCTTTCTCTCGCTTCTTTTTTGCGAGGGAGGCGGCGATAGCCCAGGCGCGTCTTTTAGCCTTCATGGCAACTGCTCTGAGGGGAACGTGCAACACATCAGAACAGAGAGAGTCTCATTCTGAGCCCCCCCATCTGAAGAGCGACAAAAGAGGGCAGGGTGAACGACAGGAAGGCACGGCTCCACGCTCTTACTTTGCAATCGGCCGTATGGGCTTCCGAGGACGGCGAGACCCGGCCTTGCCGTGAGGCGGCACATTACCTCTGTACTTGTTTTGGCCCTTTAGCTTCAGGTTCCGAGTCAGCCTAGAGCTCAAAAATGCGGGCATTTTGCTGTTGGGGCTCTTCTGCATTATCTGTACTATGGGCCTTAGCCTGGGAACGTCGTCTAAAGTGAAGAAAGTCAGTGCCTGAATGCGCCAACATAGAGAAAAATGCAGCCATTAAGCTTCAGAAGATGAACAAGGAAAGCAAGGAAACGAAGTACAATAAAGACGCGTTAGGACACTACGCATGCTGGCATATGGGAACAAAAACGCAAATCACTAATGCAGATAGGAACATATCAAGCAAAAGGAAGACCACCCACTGATTTTAGACAGTGGACAGTAAGACGCTACAAACCCCCCAGAAATACACAGTGAAAGACTTGTGCCTAGGCGTCGCACGTGCGCAGCCCGACGGCGCTGCAGGCCAAAGAAGTAGGTCCAGCAAGGAGCTCACCTTCCCTTCCTTGCCAGCTCTGCCTGTTCTGCCAATACGATGTATGTACACCGACGTGGACGGGGGTAGGTCAAAGTTAATTACAAGGGCTACACCTTTAAAATCGATGCCGCGTGCCACGAGGTCAGTACATATCAGGAACCAAATCTGCGGAAACGCAATACGCATAGGGCAGAGTGAGACGCTGCATGTTGCCCTGCAGAGACTGTATGCAACCCTGCTGATGTCTGCCTTGACGTCTGTGGGGCCTGCCTAGCTGCGCGATAGTTGACTCGCGGCGCAAAGCAAAATGCACCCAGCCCTCCATCGCAGGCAGCACCATACTCTTAACGAATGTTCGTACACCGCGCGCAAGCTTGTGTATGCAAGCTTAGCATGCACGGATGCATGGATGCTTGCACTGCACTGCAGTGGCTAGCTGGTGCACCATCCCCACCTTTCCAATCCGGAAAGCGTCTACGGTCGCATCCCTTTCCTGTTTGCTTTTTGCTGCATGCAACAAGTCGACTGGCATGCCCTCAGAAATCATTTCCCGCAACAATTCACTCGCCCGCTCTTGCGTCTGCACATACAAACCCAGAAAACACAGAAAAACACTCTCAGAAAATTCCCTCCACCCACCGCCGAAAAGCTCATGCAGTTAACGGCCATACGATGCGCTTAAAGGGCATTCCTGTCAGTGAAAAAAAAATAACCCTAGATATGTGAATAAATATTAAGAACAGTGCAGCAGTGCCTCTACGAGACGTTAAACATAAAATCGAAAACAGCGGCAGTTTACATACGAAGTGCTGGCAACCCCACATAGTCGTTAGACCTTCCCCGCCACTGTTTTGAAAGAAACCAGGAGCTACGGACTTGAGTGCAGCATATAAGAAACAACTGCAGTGAAATCAAAGGCACATGTGATCTCCAATAAGATCAGTGCAGCATGTCTCTAGACGTGCCTCAACGAAAATCAAACACGGGGGTATTAGCCGTCTCTCCAGGCGAAGTGTCTTGAGGGCCCACAGCTTTCCCGCCTCCGTTGAGCAGAAGAGAAGCTCCTGTTCGATTTGAGGGGCCGCGGCGCTGGCTCGTCCTGCGCCGGTAAGCAGTAAGCACGCCACACTTGCCCCGCACGCATGATCTTCTATGAACACCGTGCCACCTGATGCTACAGCACCGAGCTGCAGCCGTCGCCTTAGCGGCAGCAGCAGCAGCAGCTTGCAACTGCGCCCTGCTTGTGCAGCATGACACAACGGTATATGCCCCTCTCTGGGAAACCCCAAGGAGACCAAATGCAGGTATTGGGCCTGTAACCCACCGACAGTCAAGTGCACCGCGCCGTAAGCGATAGACTCGGCCAAGAGCACTACAGAGGGAGGCAGTGTGGCGGAAAAGAGGCAAATGTGCAGTCGCCTCGAAGCGGATGCTGCGCTCTTCAACTCAGAAAGGACTGCATCGACTTGGGGGGAAAAACTGAAAACGACAGGCAAACGGAGGCAACACGCGGCAGGCAGACGCCGGTAAGAAGGGAAAAAGGGAAAGGCAAACACGCCAGGCCGCGAGACCGGTACAGACGGGTGCGCCAAAAACGCAGCAGCAGCCACGACCTCAATGCACAGCCTCCACTTTATTTTTAGAAGTTATGTGAAGACCGACTCTGAGTCAAGAAGGCGGTCTGCCTCGTCGAGCACTAGATGGTTGCAGTCCGTCAATGAGAGCTGTGGAAGCAGCACAACGGTCCTCTCAATCCTTGCTGAGTGTCTTTCTCTACCAGCAACCTTGTGCTATTAGTTGCTTCCTCCGCTGCTGCTCTTCCCAGGGTATCAGGTACCTGCTCTGTTGCCAGTTTTTATTGAGCACTGAGAAAGGCCCTTCTTACCCTCTTCTCCCTTAGCAGTGTCAGCAACGACAATGGCGTCGCAAAGACAGCATCCGCGGCGCCGTATCGGGCCCCAGGATGGGACTGGGGAAACGCGGCTTTAAAGCCTGTGCCTTCTGCGCCGAGCAGCAACCACACTGAGTTTCACAACAACTGAATAACTGCCCTCCCGTATCAAATTTCCCAAACCTTCTGGGCAACAGCAAAGCAATTATGCAATTTTGTTCCGCAAACAAGCAGGTGAGGATGCAAGCGTTTATTATCCCGTCCCACTGTGGTAGCACACGCTGCAGTTCGGCCTATGCACCATTGCTGCAGCCATTGTTGCTGCTCTGGCTGCTGTTGCTAGAGTTTGCTGTTTATACCACACATGCCTGTAAGTTTATCGAAGGTCCTGAGGCTCTGCCTTGCCAATTCCCGAGTTGGAGAGAGGACAACCAACCGGCCGAAGGCGTTACTGGGAGCCTGAATAGGCAAGGTAACGCATGCTGGGGGCAGTTGACTCATGAAATGCTCAGCCAGGCATGCAAAATGCTAGGACAATATAGAGCCAAATGACGAGGAGCAGAAAACACAAACAGCGTGCTGGTCGGGGTGGCACCATGACGCTAATTCGACAATAGTCCAACACAGTAGAGAGCTGCACGTGACAAGACGAAGCAGCAGGCCAGAATAGGACTCCTGAAAACGAGGGAATAAGAACGATGCACAATCGTTTACAAACCTTTAAACATGCAATGAGAGGGAGCAAGAAAGCTAGAGTTTTGCCGCTGCCAGTCGGGGCCGAGGCCAGCATGTGGTGTCCTTGCAGCAGCAGCGGTAGTGCCTGCGGCGAACAAAAACGAAAACACTCACATTCAAACACCAGCTGCTTCTCCTTTGGTTTTTTTCTGCTCCAGAGCTTTCATACGTCTACATATAATATTTACACATCTGCGTAGAGAGCAGCAATTGCAAGCACCATGCATAAGAGAACATCAGCACTTTTGTTTGAATTCCATTCTTATCTAGAAAAAGAAGGTCTTTTACCAGCTAACAGCTGCAGGTGGAATTCAGTTTGAAAGCTATAGGTAAGGCACAAGCTGATGTGGAAGGCTGACTTGCATCTGGATGGGTGTGGGGTGTTTGTAGCCAAGCGCCTGCAGGCGGGAGACGAGCCAAACGGGAAGCCTGCTAGGGCCCTCTTGTGAGTTTCGCTCTCCATCTGAGATGATTTCTTTAACCTCTCCCGTTTCCGTCTCTGGGGCCATCTGGTCACTGAAAGAAAGAAACGGACGAGGCACAGCTACGACGCCCTTTACAGAAATAGAGTTCCGAGCCCTGACGCTCTCCGCTGAACATGGACTGTCAGAGGTTGCTCGTTCCTTCGTTTTCCCATCGTGTGCTTGGCCTGATCCATCCTGATGCTGCTGCTGTAGCCGCCCCTGCCGTTTTTGCATCAAGGGAGAATCAAGGGAAGCGCGGCACTTGTGGAGAGAACCTCCCCTAGTCAGAAGAGCAAATATGTTGTCTTGAACCATCTCCCTTCTTTGAAAATATCAAATAAGCTTTAAACTCTTCCCAGTGGTCTACTACGACTGAAGCACAAGGCGCCTTCCTGGCGGCCAGGTGCCCCTGCCCTAACGCGGGACCCCAATAGGAGTTGTAAACTATAAAACAACCGTAGAAGGTCAATTCTTTAACGGAAGGAAGACCAACAATATCCACCTACTACTCTTTAACCATCCTTTCCCCACGCGGGGCTGAGCGGGGCCCTTTGTAGGCCGGGGCCCCAGGCTCCGTTTGGCCAGGTTGTTGCACCGGTGAGCTTATGTCTAAGCAGCAACAGCAAAATTACGCAAAAGACGCAGAGTTGCCGTTCAAATAAACCACACTTTGAGCCCCCTGCTCACCGCAGGGACTCCCGATCGGGTCCCTGCAGCGCAGCGGGGTATGTGCGTATGTCAAGTGTTTAGGGTTAAGCGTTTAGCCTCTATGGTTTCCACTACGCCTGACAGGAAACCTTCGGCAGTTTTCTATTTCTCTCTAGGCATTTCCAACTTCCCGCATGCAAGTGTCTTCGCCTTAAGTCCAAAACCACTAGCAGCCGCTGCAGAACCCCTGAGGATTGATCATGAGCTTCGCCGGCCTCGGTGACTTCGGCGGCTCAGGCGCTCCTCCCTATGACCAGGGAGCCCCTGCACAGGGCTCCCTTGGGGCACCAGGCGATCCTGGGGCCCCGGGTGCCCCGGGGGAAGTGCGAGGAGTGGCGGACTTCTTCGGTGGGGGGGCGGCTCCTGGATTTGGAGGAGGCAAGAAACGAACAACTACCCATCCCTTCTTCTTTTTGCCTGCGCCTGCTTGCACCTGCATGCAGATAATACAGATGTGCCTGACATTAGCCACAAGCCTTTATCCTGACATCCTCCCTACGACTGCGGGCGCGCTTGCTCTGAGGTGTGCACTCACTTCATTGTGCGCTTTTGTGGAGTGCAGAAGATTATTTTGGAGGCGGGGGTTTTCTGCACACCGGAAATTTTCTCACGCAGGCACAACAGCCATCTGGGCCCCAACTGTCTTTGATCCCTGTGAAGATCGGTTAGCCTGTTTCCCTTCAGCTGCAAATGCGTCAGCATCTCTCTTGGAGATGCATTTCGTATTCTCCACAGTTCATTTGCAGGAGGAAGCAGCAGGGAGGATCTCTGTTTTGCAATGCTGATTCGTGCGTGGCAGTGGATGGTTACTGGCGGTCGTCCTTCCTCCGTTTGGTTGTTGGAGTTCCAGGTGTTATGCCCCAGCTACTTTCGTTTGCTTTCACTGTGCCTGATGCACATGCTGTTGTGCTGCGACTCTGCAGCACATGTCTACAGGGCCTGGATGCAGGACCCGAGCTCCCTCCAAGTGTCTTTTTTCCCTTCTGGTCCCCTTCTGCACCTGGTGAAGCTCGTCGGGGTAGTGGATGTTCCTTCTAGAGGTGAGAAGGGGCATCGCATGCATGCGACATTGATGTTCCGCTTTCCTGCCAGGGAGTCAAGCCGTGTAATTGCGTTTGTACATTTCCCTAGGATTTCTTACCCAGGTAGCTAAAGCATAGACACAGCGAGGATCGGTAACTAGGTTCACAGCTCGAGGAAATTCACAGAGACAGAGGTGTGATAGGTAGTGCCCCCGACACGCTTCTTTGGTCTTGAATCGAGTGCTTGCCTGCAGAGACACTCGAAGCGGCACTGCATAGCGCGAGGATTCAATTCACCCTCGATGACTTCACCGGGAGGATAGAGTGCGAATATACAGTCGGAGACGAGCTGACAGAGTATCGTCAAAACCAAATCCTTGTGCGTCGTGCACTTCAGAGCCTACCTTTCCTTTTGTCCTTCATTGCTGTGTCTTGTCCCCTGTCCTTCTGTCTTAGCCTCTCCTGTGGCCTCTGTGCACCTTCCCCTGCATCGAGGACTTAGATGCTGCAACATCTCTCTGTTCTTCTTCCTTGAGCACTGTTAATGCGCTGCCAAGTATTGTGGGGCTCCGTTGCTACGACATCGCGTACCCCCAAAACGATGCAACCTTAGTTGCATTCTTGCTGCTAGGAAGCTCGTTAATGAGTTGCTTGCGTGCAAATACCAGAATAAGTAACGGCACAATTTTAGTTTTCCAGCATGCGTTTGACTGCAGGATGCCTTGTGTTGTGGGGGCCTTGTGACAATCTTCGGCTCTATCAATTTGCTTGGCAAAAGTGAACCTTCCCTCCGTGTCCATGCAATCAGGCAGACGCAAACGGCCGGTACGAGCTTCTGGCCGTGATTGAAATAGCATTGGTAGCCTAGGGGGTGGGGGATGCCCAATAATCAGAGTTTGAGGTAAACATCCCCCGCCACTACTGATGCTGTTGCTCTAATTGTCGCAGCGGATCTCATTTATCACGAATCTGCATGCCAAGCCGCATATCTGCGCCTCAAATACCCCAATGAAGACCCTGACGGTGCTACGGGAGCTGGCCAGCAACAATCGCTGCAGCCGTCGCTGCTACAGCAGCAGCAGCAGCAAATGCACCCCTTCGGAGTCCCGCAGGTAGGTAAAACCTTTCTGGTAGTGTCACCCAGTGAGTAGCTCTGATCTGGATGCCCCTTTTCTGGCTTGAGTTCCGGATTGTCCGCGGCTATATGCGCTTTCCTGGTGCACGGCGAATTCAGGGGGCGGCACATTCTGCCCAGACGGCCTCCCCATTTGGATAGAGCTTGCAGGCCGTACCTCAAGACACGGGCACTGCTGCAGGGCATCCCATTTATTCTTCGCGCACACAGCGGCACCCCGTCGAAGGCGTTTGTTCACTACCTTGCGCCTACACATATGCTCCAGCGTAGAACAGCACTTTCCTGCACGTGGCCAGAGCGGCACGAGCAGCCATAATTCGCTGATCTCCACTGTACTTGTGAATTTAGAGCCCTCGCGCTGCCGTGCTAATTCCCTTTGTACACATTTTTCACGCTCGCCTACCAAACCCTTTGCTGTGCGTTCCCCACCCTCATTTCCGCTGAAAGCGTATTTATCCAGTGGAAACGAGCTGAACAAGTTGCCACATAAAAGACATCGCAGCCGAACCCCTCGGCGGTTCGCACTGACCGTCCGAATTCGCCACTCGCCGCGAGTGCCGCGGAAACCAAAGAGCGAGGAGCACTACGGCTTCTGAAGAGGCAGCGATGATTTGCAGGTCGAAACTCAATAGAACCCCTGTGAACCCCCCTAATCATGACGCAGCAAACGACGCACAGCTCTTTCAAAGACGCGTTTGCCGAATACGTGTGCGTGCTGACTCCAGGTGCAGCCGAGAAGATCGCAGAGTTTTTTGTGGGACGCATGCATGCGTGTTGACGAAAGTGACCCTTGGTCCGAA